ACTACCAGCTGTTCCGCGGGAGAAAGATGAGGCGTTCTGCTCCCGTAAAGATTTACAGCCTTGGAAACCCTGTACAGGGTCGCTATGAGTCGGAACTGACTCCACGGCACATAACAACAACAACAATGCCTAGGCTATAGATCTTTATGAGTTCCATTTTATTTTTTATGACTTCCAAGTGTCCTAGATGCATACTTCATACATTCCATGTTCTTATTTAATGGATGTTTGCTGCTCTTTCTTCTCATTTTGAATCATGCTTCACCAGCAAATGAAGGTCTCAAAAGTTTAACTCGGTCTGTGTCTTTAAGGTCAGCTCTCCTTTGAGAGGACAGGTCTTTCCCAGTTGTATTTTGAGTGTCTTCCAACCTGATGGGTTTATCTTCTGGCACCAAATTAGACTGTTGTTCATAAGGTTTTCATTGGCCAATTTTTAAAGAAGTAGATCTCGAGGTCCTTCTTCCTAGTCTATCTTAATCTGGAAGTTTCACTGAAACCTGTCCACCATGGGTGATCTTACTGCTATTTGAAAGACCAATGCCATAGCTTCCAGCATCAAAGTAACACATAAGCTACTACAGTGTGACAAACTGACATATGAGTGGTGGGACTTTGTTGTACCTGATAAATATTTAAATGCTGGTGTGTCAAACGAATTTATAGAGAAAGCATTTTCTAATCACTGTTTTCCTTCCCTCCACCCCCTAGGTACCACGGAGAGAAAACATGAAATTAAAAAGATACCTCCTGAAAGACCAGAAACACTTCCAAACAGAACAGAAGAAAAAGGTATGATATCAAATCTTCATAGGTGCTTTCAGAGTAACAGTAGGCAAAGCTAAAACAGGGCTCATCTTGAGGACCTACCAAATTTGCTTTCTCTTGGGAATATGGTGATTATAGCTTGGTTTTGATTACCTTTCAACATCCCATTTCTAAGGAAATGCAAGAGGGTTATATGACACATTTTGGGGCCAGAATACCTCATCAAATGAAAAATAACCAACCCAGAAGCTTGGATCATTGGAGCTCTTCAGTGATGCCTCTGCCATCACCACTCTGCCCACACCAGCACCTTCCTGAAGTTGTGATGATGACTAGATGTTTCTTGAGGACCAAAATGTGTCTTCCCCATTTTACAGCCAGCTTGGCCCTCCTCCCAATGCCTAGTGCCCCCAGGTGCTCATTATCTGTTGGAGGATGGATATGCCTTAACCTCCCATTTAGACCGACAATAACGCTATACTTTGGTCTCTGTTGGACCTGGCTAACTATGTTTTGGGTACATGTCCTTGGTCAAAAATGTTGAGGCGGGGACACTTGGCACAACTGGGAAAAGTAGCTCAGTATTTGAAGTCTCCTGAAAACCAAAAGAACCTGTTCCCATCAAGTTGATTCTAATAGAATCAAAATACAACTGGCCCCATAGGTTTTTCAAGGCTGTCCCCTTTAAGAAGTAGATCACCAGGCCTTTCTTCCAAGGTACCTCAGAGTTGGGGAGGGGAGGATTTAAACTTCCACCCTTTCTTTTAGTAGCCAAGCATTTAACCTTTTGAGCCACCCAGGGACTGCTGAAGATGGTCAGCAATGTCATTTGAAGGGCAGTAGCTTGTTTTGCCAGTATGTCTGAATCTCCTCTATTAAGTGTCTCTCCCAAAGAAAGCTGCAGGCTATGGGAGGGCTTTTTTTTCCTTAGATGTCTAAGATTTGATTGATCATACATTTTATGGAAAAAGTGCTTTGCTGCTATAAACAGGAGGCTTAGCAAATTCCATTTTTTTAAAAAGTAGTTGGGTTTCAGTCAATAAGAGCAATGTTAAATTAATGAATCATTATTTGGAGGTGTCCCTTGGTGGCCTTGTGAAATTTTATTGTGTAATTTAACATTTCATATCAACCTGACAAAAGTTTTACCAACATTGTACTCTCCTAAAGAATACACCTTTTTCCTTCACAGCAGACAGTTAAAACTTAAATTGTGGAAATCTCATTGTGACGCCCAGGTCTCTGTAGCAGACACAATGAGTATATATATCCTGTGAATAGGTTTTTAATGGAAGTATGTGCTGTGAAATACCCCAAGGCTGTCCCCTGTTCTCTGGGACGACATGTGGCTCATTTCTGTGTCATAGCCACGCTCAGTGGTGAGGACATTCTCTCTTTTGGTTCATACTGACCAACATGACTTGGCTTATGTGGGAAAAACTGCCTTAGTTGGCTGGCCAAGTAGCCACACACAGCTGGTGCCCTTATTCCTTGCTCTGTGTCACAGTGGAAGGCAGAAGTCCTGGACAGAGCCATCCCTAGCCTGAGACTTATCATTCAACTGGTCCAAGCCCCGTCTACCATTCATTCTGCAGACCACTAGTGCTATGATCCCCATCGCACTGCCCAGCCAGAGAAACGTCTCTTCCTTGGCATTGCAGACATGCCCTTCCTCATCTGATCCTCATGTGCCAGTACATGTGTCCCCAGCATTCCTGACTGGAGCATATTTACCCACAGAAATGCTGTATACTTGATGGGTTGTTTAAAGTTCTTGCCACTTGGCCTGGGGACTCAAATAACATTTATAAGTTGGGGTTTGCAGGTTAAATGTGTTCTGCATAGCACCTCACAAGCAAATAAATATAAGTTCCCAACCTAAAGGAACTCTGGTAGCATAGTGGTTGCGAATTGGGCTGTGACCTGCAAGGTCAGCAGTTCGAAACTACCAGCTGTTCCGCAGGAGAAAGATGAGGCTTTCTGCTCCTGTAAAGATTTATAGCCTCAGAAACCCTGTACAGGGTCGCTATGAGTCGTAACCAACTACAGAGCACATAATCACTACCACCACCTAAACTCAAGTTGGCACCTCTCTGAAGTTCCTTCTCCAGAAAGAAGAATGTGGATGTATGAGTTTTTTAGATCATGCCCAGGGCAAGGCTAATCGAGGTCAGAAAATCTGAAGCTCTCACTGAGCACTGCACAGTGTTGCCCCTAATCTGGCTCCAACTTCATTCAGATAGCTCCAACTCTAAGAAGCACTGGAAAGAAAAGACCTTTCACTTTCAAGCTGCACACAGGAAGAATCCAAAATGAACTGTTGTTCCCTGAAACTCTAACCCTTGGATTGGCTTGTGGTCCTTCCCATATACTGATCTGAGAACTGTTAGATATCTTTCCTCTTCAAACCTGGGGCCCTTAGCCAACCCTTTTAGACATTCACTGCACGCCCCCCACTGTGTGTCGGGCACTGGACAAGGTTTCAGGGAGCTGGCTAGATGTGGGCTCTGCTCGTGGGTGCTGAAAGCCAAGTAGGCTGTGCCAAGCATGCAGATACCTGCATGGTTTGAGAGGTGCCTGTTCATGAAGAACCCCCACTTAGGTGCTCAGGTTGGGAAGTCAGTCACTCTGGCTGTTGTCACATTTCACCCATACCTTGAAGGATGAGTAGAGGTTTTCTGAGTATGGGCAGTGGCTGGAAGGACATTCCAGGCAGAGGGACCAGTGAGAACAAAGGCATGAAAGAAGGAGCCACTGAGCTGCTGTTTCAGGGGCCTTTTTGTAACACGGCAAAGGATAAATGAAACTCTTCTCATTCCCAACCCCCCTTCACTATCGCAGCCGTCACCTGTGATTTTAAAGCAGGGAAACAAGCAGTTTACCCCTGAGTCCTGTCACTTACACTGGATCTCTCTGTTTGCTTTATGATTTTCTAAACAATGATTTAAAGACAGACCAGAGAGAGAGCCAAAACTGGATTTACAGAAGCCCTCTGTTCCTGCCATACCACCAAAAAAACCTCGCCCACCTAAGACCAACTCTCTCAGCAGACCTGGTGCGCTGCCCCCAAGAAGGCCAGAACGACCAGTGGGTCCTCTGACCCATGCCAGGTACTGCTCCATGATCGCTCTTGGGGATGGGAAGGGTTTCTGGGGGACTCAGGAAGGGGACTCCTCTGTGAGGCCTTGGGAGGAGGGGAAGAGGAGGGAGGTCGGGCATAGAGCTTGCTTCTGCATCCTCTAGCCAGTTGTTGGGGTCTCTGGCCAATTCCATCTTTCCCCTGTGTTTGGCCAGACTACAGATAGGAGGTTATTGGGTTATCAGATAAGGCTCCGCCCCCCAGTGTCTAGGCCTTATCCCCACACTGGGACTCCGGCTTCTTTAGAGCTAAGCCAGCCGTTCTCCTGACTGGAAGTACAATGGTCTGCCCACTCTTTCCCACCTGGGTGACCTGCTCCCCTCCAGTGGGCACCTGCCAGTCATTCAACATAACAGTGATGTTAGGGATCCCGCTCCTTGCCCTCTGGTGCCTCCTCTCATACCCCCTGACCTGCTGTGCTGGTCACTCCATGGCACTATTGTGGAAGCCAGCACCTGGCACTGGGTCTCTAAACTATGAAACTCTCTGAGGCAAGGCGCATTCTTTATTCAGGCACAGGGTGCCAAATTTGCATGGCAAAACCACTGTTCGCTAACTGGTAGACTGGACACTTGATATAGTAATGTGAAATTCATGTTGAGCATTATGCATTCCAGAACTACAGTGCCTACCACATAGCAAGGAACTTAGTGAATTCTTGCTACAAGTTCATTGCAACAACTTTCTGTCATTACATATAAGTTATGTGTGTTGATGTAATACACCGAGCAAGGCAGTTATCTGGTGGTGTTTGCCTGTCAGTGTGCAGTTAACACCCTCTTAATTTTTCTTGTAAGTTTTCATGGTGAGAGTTGTATGGACCTTCAGTGCACTTCCATTAGAGTCAGACAAACTTCTAGGCTTGCATCTCGCCCCACCTCGTCATAGAAGGGGAGCCTTGGCCAGTCACCTCACCTTTTCACCTCACCATCTCTGTGTGAAAACCTGAGGCCAATAATGGAATGTACCTAAGAGAAAAGGAGATCATTCCTAAGTATGTGGCCTATCAGCCAGTATTACTCTCATTGTCATTTTTGTTTTCTATCAAACTAGGCATACTGGACTCATTTGCTTTTTTTTTTTTCTTTTGGTTGTGAGGACTCAGGCCCTCTGGAGCTCCTTCTGCAGAGGACTTGATCCCAAGCTCATGGCTACCGTCACAGCTTTTGCTGCAGAGGCCTGGGGAGGGTACCCTAACCTTACCTCTGCTCCAGAGGGTTGGGGTCCCTTTAGCTCCAGAGGGTTGGGGTCCCTTTAAGACTGGCCATGGACACCCACCTACTAAGGCCTCAGAGATGAGTACAACAGCTGTGTAGGATTTTCTTGGCTTTCTTCCTGTAATCTTTTTTTTTTAATGTTTTATTGTGAATTATATGGTAGTTTACATGAGAGAACTTTAGTTTTATATTCATTCCATCATATATCATCTCATTGCCATGGTTCCAATCCCCTCCGTGCATCATCAGCCAACCAAAGGGTATATCCTAGAAGCCCGCCCCCTACACTTCTCCGTTCCCCCCCACTGTTTTCGGCCCACAGGCCCTTTCCCTCTCTGGATCCAAAGTCCCCAGCCGCTTCATTACTCCACGTCATCGTCTCTGTCTCCATCTCAGACATCTCTGTTTCTCTGGGTAGGGTCCCGCTCTCGGCTCTTCTCCATTGATGGTCCCAGATACCTCCGCTCCTAGCCTGTAGAATTAATCACTCCCTTCCTTGTTACAAAACGTCTACCTTTGCATTTCCAACCCTCATAATCCATCCCGATAAGCATTATTCACTACAGTATCACGAGTTCCCCATCTGTATTTACTTTTATCCGCTCCGCCTAGACAGATTGAATAGTACCCACTGGAGATTCTGCCTTCCTCCATGCTCCCTAGCACTAGGTTCCCCCTTGAAAGCTTGTAAGCCAGTCACTTCTTGCCTTTGTAGTCCCCCACTCCCCATTTGAGTATCCAATGTCCAAGTTGCCCCTCTCCGTCGACTCTGTGTATGGAGGGGGTGAAAATGATTCTTGCTGTAAGGATTTGTTCCTTCTTTTGAGTTGCTGCTCCATAGGTATAGGTCAAGTTCATCAGACTGTATCAGCTCACTCTTTCCCCCCGCCCCCCCCTTCTTTCCTCTCCTGGTTTGAGCTCCGATCATCCAGTCATCCGGTCCAGGTCAAGTGGGTATCATTTGCAAGTGTGGGTGCTCCTGTGTATATGTCCTCTCTTCCCGTCAGCCGGTAGCTCCACTTTCCTCTCGAGTCCTCTGTGGCCACGCCACTGACTCTGGGCCCAAGAGTCCCCAGGTCTCCTCACACTGCTTGCCATCCAGGTGCCCATCTGGGTCCACAGAAGTCCACTGAACATTGTAGGGCTTATCTTGCTGCTTCATTGCTGCTTTTACCCCATTTCCCCCCATCGGTGATGTGTGTGGTCACCAATCAGAGCGTGCATTTCCATTGAGTCTTAGTCTTGGAAGGGGGTTTGCGTTGAGAGGACCTGGCCACTTGCCTTGATGTTTCCTAGGGAAACAATTTGTTTGTTCTTGTAGTAACAGTCCATCTGCCTCCATTTTTCCTGCAGGTCTTTCTTTCAAGAGGTATTTTTTATTCTTCTAGCCTCACCAGGCTGGTCTACTCGTCCTTTCAAGTGGAGATTTCTCATCTCTGGAGATCTGGATGTGGTTCCGGTTTCTACCTATAGTTTTATGTATTGCAGAGGCTCTGCAGGAAGCCTC